TTTTTTTTAATTTTGTGGACTGTGTCGTAGTTTGGTTTTGTTTTAATTCGTCAGCGAATTTTGTTGGCTTGTTATTAGGTTAGATTCGGAGGAAGGGATAGGTGCGGGGGGGCTTCGGACCTTATTAAGTGCGTCAAAATAATTAATAAAGGTTGCGAAACAAATCGCAAAGAAGTCGCGGAGAACGAAAAGAAAAATGTAAATTTTGGATGGAAACTATCAGGTTCCCAACGGGAACAGACAGCACAGACAACTTGTCTTAGAGACTTTAAAAAAAGCGACCCTAACCGAGTTAAAGGGGGAGAAAGTGTGTTGTCTATTTTGGATATTGGCTCGGAAACTAAGTAATCGGGCGGCTGGTGTTTGCAATTTAGGCGGGGGTAGACGTCGAAGTTTTTATGAGACGAGTCAAATTACTATTTGGGTCGACCTTACTTCAGTTGAGTTCGACTACTGGGTCACCAACGTCGAACTAAGTTGAAAAGTAATAAAGGGCGCGAAGCATTTTAAAGTCGTTGTTGGAAGCCAGCTTTGCAGAAACCCGTTTATAACAGACGATTCTTTTTGTTCCGACAAACAGCTCAATATATTAATTTTTAATGAATAAACAGCATTTTACGGAAACCCAGATACCCGAGGGGGCATTTCTGGGAATTCTTAATGAGGGTGTGCCGCCCGGTTCTCCAAATCCTGACCCTATTTCAGACCAAAAAATGTTATTGTTCACACCTGTTTTCAGACCTGGCCTTTAAGAAATGATGTTATCATCACTTAGATTACAGCAGCAAGAAAAAATATTTCTTAAAATCCATTCGAATTGGCATATTTCTTTTTCTTTCTTACTCATTTGGGACTGAAACAATAAATACGTTCGTACACTCCCGTAATGCCCTCGAAAACCATACCCGATTCCAGACCAAAATGAGCAAAGTCTACACCCGTTTTCAGACCAAAACGGCGCAAAGATCCTTTGGGGCGGCAGATACATACATGGGGGAGTACTCCCCGGTTCCAGACAATAGAAACACTTTATTGGCATGTTCACTTGATGTCTGCCATGCATGTTTGTCCCCGGGAATCGATCTTATGCCAGGGGTGGATCCAGGATGTTTTTTAGGAGGGGGTGCACTCGTCTCTTGCTCTACTTCAACACCAATAAACCACATAGTTTTTTTTTGCAGAATACCCGTTGTATTAGAAAATCGCAGGTCATCTTAGGGGGAGGGGGGTGCGCACCCCCTGCACCCTCCCCCTAGATCCGCCCCTGTAAGCGGACTAGAAGAACTTGTTTGGCGATCCAGCAAACTTTAATAGTAAGAGTAGCTAAACTGAGACAAACGTCGAACTTATCATTAACTTGAATCACTCAGTTTTGTTGGTCTCATGAAAAGTTCGACGTTTGGCCTTGCTTTTAGTCGATGCAAACTCATTCAAACAAACCTGACCGCGACAGAAGACAAACTTATCATGAACTTAATCTGTTCAGTTTGGATCGGGGGGTGCTCAACAAAGTTTTATACAGGGAGGTACCGCCCCAAGGTCCAACCCCTTACCCTCTAAAATACTGTTTTTGACAGGAAAAGTGGCCCTTCCGTTATTCTGATTCTAATTCTTATCGTGCTATCTGCAAAGGGAATGTTCCATCACGGCGGATGTGTAATTGTACAGGTGCTTGTGTTAAGATATAATCAAGGTGCGAATGTCAAGTGAATAAAGAATAAAAAGTTCCCAGGTTAGCGTTTTTAAAGATGGCTCACGACAGCCGTTTTGAAAGCCTCCACTGACTGCTTTTCAATGAGACAACTTGGTAAAGATTTCCAGTCTCTGATTGTACGTGATATTGATCAGTTCTGGAACTTCCTTTCTCTTCGGCGACTGTTTAAATTATGTCTGAATTCAAAATAAATATACAGCCTCATCGCCTCAAGCAAGTCACAAGTTAAGAGGACTATAAACCGAGGTTCCTATTTTTTGACCAGTAACTTAACCCTTAAAAGTACTTAAATAATTAGAATGGACGTCAAAAGTAGAATACAAGTACAATTAATTCGCGCGCTTTGTTGCAAAATAAATGCTTTCTCGCAATGTAGGGACGGACCCCATAATTAATCCTAAATAATATTCATGCTATGGCCTAAAAAAAATTCATACAAGGAATTTGATAACGAAAAAAAATTCCCGCGGCTCGAAAATTCCCCTCTCACCCCCTCCCCCCATAACTTTTCTAATGGTCCGTCCCCTAACTCTGATGAGAAACCGAGATCGGTTCACCTACCAGACCTACCAGTACTGGTATTGGGCTGGGAAAGTAAAGGACACATTCCATTACTGGCTATTACTGTATAACTGATAAATGCTTGTATGATAAATAATCTGAAGTTACAGGTAGAATTAGTGAAAATAAGTGGAACACCAAAGACTTACCTCGGTGAAGTAAAAGTAACAAAGCCTTTATAGTTTATTTTCTTTAGTTTTTTTTAATAAAATAAACGGTTGAATTGGTGAAAGGAATGTTGCATACTAGGTACTGAAGTAGCAGAGTCTGCAGGAATTTAATATATTATAGCACTCAGCATGAAGGGCCACTAGTAACGGGCCCAATATTTGATTTTTGAACCCGGGATGGGTTATTTTTTTCATGCAAGATTTTTTCAGACCTCATTTGTGCAGTGGCTATTTTGTTTTCCACAAAATTTACAGACTTAAGTGACAATATTGATCTACAAGTAGTTTTTCGGCCCTTTGGGCTATTCGGCCTCGGCTTATGTAATGGTTGGCCCCGAAAGGTACATGTATCACCACCTTGGATTTGGAGCCTGAATTTTTTAGTGGAGAGAGAACACCCGCTCTGAACGAGTACGCAACGCGGCGGCCCAGCTGCCTTTTAGAATCAATAGAGAGGCTCTACCAGTCCTCGAATATCTTTTATACCGGCCCTCAAAGCCATTACACACAGAAAAAGCTGGGTCCGAAGGTACCGGAATGGCTTCGAAAGTCGCACGGCAAGAGTAAACCTAAGGGGGATATAGATGAGGAAACGAGCACGGAGGGAAAGGAGCGACACAAAAGTAAGGCATTGCAGAGCTTTGCGAAAGAATTCGGACGGGCTGTACGACAGCAAGACCAATGGGAAATGGGAATGGGGAATGGGGAACTGGGAACGGGGAACGGGGAACGGGGAATCTTTAAAAGCGGGAATCTTTAAAATGGTGAATCTTAAAAACAGGGAATCTTTAAAAGCGGGAATCTTTTGTAAACGCTTTCAAAATCGAGGATGATTCTAAAAACCCTTACTTTTGCTGATTGTTGTAAACCGAGTTATCTTTAACAGGCTGGTGTGAAATCAATCCTTGCACATTTTCAAGTTCTTAGCTGAATGATTTTGAAAGCGTTGGTCTTGAAAAAGTTTGAATTTGACAAAGGTAGTACTCTGTTTCAGCCAATCAGTGAATGAACTAAAAACGCGCGCGCTGTCAAAATTTGTTGTTGTAGTCATGTTTTTCGTGTATATTATTACTTAGACAAATTAAATAAAGCACGTGAAATCCCGTGGATTAATAATCATTAAGTAAAGGACTGCTAATACTCTGTCATGGTCTGCTGACCCACGCTGGTCTCCAGAGGGTTTTAAAATTTTAATTTTCCGACGAGCGTCTAAGTCACTTTTTATTGGTCAGGAGCTTACCCTCGGACATACGTCCTTCAAGACCCAAAATTAATGTTTAATTTACACTCCGAAGCGAGAAATGGTAAATATCCCCTTCCCTTTATACGGGAGTCCTCCCCAGAAACTGTTCCGACTCTACTTCTAAACTTGCAAACTGAACTACTTGTTATTCTCTAAAATAAAAGAGCTTTTTACGAAACTTTTGCAAAAAAATCGAGAATCTTGGCGGCCGCTCTTAAAAAGACTGTGGTTACCACCGCTCNTTGAAAGCGTTGGTCTTGAAAAAGTTTGAATTTGACAAAGGTAGTACTCTGTTTCAGCCAATCAGTGAATGAACTAAAAACGCGCGCGCTGTCAAAATTTGTTGTTGTAGTCATGTTTTTCGTGTATATTATTACTTAGACAAATTAAATAAAGCACGTGAAATCCCGTGGATTAATAATCATTAAGTAAAGGACTGCTAATACTCTGTCATGGTCTGCTGACCCACGCTGGTCTCCAGAGGGTTTTAAAATTTTAATTTTCCGACGAGCGTCTAAGTCACTTTTTATTGGTCAGGAGCTTACCCTCGGACATACGTCCTTCAAGACCCAAAATTAATGTTTAATTTACACTCCGAAGCGAGAAATGGTAAATATCCCCTTCCCTTTATACGGGAGTCCTCCCCAGAAACTGTTCCGACTCTACTTCTAAACTTGCAAACTGAACTACTTGTTATTCTCTAAAATAAAAGAGCTTTTTACGAAACTTTTGCAAAAAAATCGAGAATCTTGGCGGCCGCTCTTAAAAAGACTGTGGTTACCACCGCTCCGCTACTACAATTTGTAGCTCATTCAACTTTAACCTGCGATTCGGTTTATATTACCTTTCAAAAAATAAAAATCAAACAGACCCCCGGTTGCCGCATCCGGGAAACGGAAGACTGGGGAGAATTTAATACTTCATGACAACTTTAAACAGTGCTCTACAGAGAAATTATCATTTTTTTGCCCAGCATTTTGGCGGGAATATTCGTACATTTGTAGCCACTACGTGCTTCGTTTTACCTCTTTCTACGCCATGTTGTCTCCTGGAAATTTCAAAGCGCCTTTGGCATTGACGGTGAAGAAGAGGCGAATCGTTCGCTTTGAAGGCCTTACAGAATTTAAATGGAGTGATCGGGAACATGATGTGGTTGGACAAGGCTCGTTCGGAGCGGTTTTTGTGACAAAGTATGCTAAAGAGTAAGACCTGGACAGGAATTTAAGCAAGCCAGTTGTTGTAAAGAAATTTCTTGGTTCGTCTTTACAATTAAAATTTATCGATGTATTCACTAAAGAAGCTCGTTTACTGCATGATCTCAATCAAGGCAACATCAGTAGTACAATTTAAAGCTGTTTGTCACGAGCCAGTCGCAGTTTTAATGCTGGAGTATGTTTTATTTTGACCTAAGCATTGTCGGAGGATAGGGAAAGGTCAGTTCACTGAAAGACTTTAACAGTTGCCTTGACACAGGGGATTGTAATGGGGTGGACACAAATTTTATGAACAGGATCGCGTCGGATATTGGCAGTGGATTTCTGTATTTACATGAAAGAGGAATCGCGCACAGAGATTTAAAAATAGCGAACGTCCTCGTTAGCAATCAGCATTACTGCGAGGAAAAAAATCGCGATAAAATTGCCTACGCATGGAGCCATCAACCAGTGATCTGCAAGCTCACTGACTTTGGAGAAAGTAGGTCAAAAGTTGTGCAATCACGATTTGTTTGCCGATCAAGGACTCTAAACATCCACAGGGGTACAATACCATACATGGCACCGGAAATTCTTCTCGGAAGCGAGATCTCACGTGCAGGAGCCACTGTTGAGGATCTGTTGGTCGTGGACATGTGGGCCTAAGTACGGAATGCTTCTATATAATTTATTAAACTCTTGTCTTCATCATCCGTACGAGGAAGTCCTGAAGCAAGAGGAAACTGACGGAGGACAAGATTATCCGTTTCCTTCGTGATGGCAGAAGGTTAAGCCCGTCTGAAAAGTATGCTGAGAGATGCCAACCAGACTGGCGCACCGTTTGGAACTTGTACAAAACCTGCGCACCTTTCCAGCCTCGTGACAGACCAGACGCTAGAAACCCCCTTCAGTTGCTTACCTCCTGGGCAAGGTAGGACCTTCAATATTGTTTGATGGTATTATGTCAACTATACTATAGATAGACTGTTCAAAACAAAAGGAGTACAAGTCAATGACAAAACAAATTTTTTGTATGCTTAGTATTGAATCCTTTTTTCCGTTGTTTTCCTAAATCCTGAATTCTTGTATCTTTGTTTGGCCTTCTATAAAAGTATTGTCTTATTGAAGAGGGTGAACGTGAATGATTTGTATCCATGACTATTTTGGGTCCTGTTTATTTGAATTTATTAGCAAGTGAATCATTACACAAAAAGGAATAAGCACAAGTAAGGCGGATAAAACGAGTATGCATTATTGTTGTGTACTTCACTTTCCCCACTGTTTGTTACCGCTTTTTGTTTTCGTTCCTTTTCAATCTTGAAAGCTCTTATGCAAAAAAATCGATAGCAAGGCTTACTGAACAGATTGAAGAAGCATTTTATTTTTGAATAACATGTTCCTTTTCATATCCTCCTAATCCTCTAGTGCAAGTGCGTCCCATTCATCCGTGCTGTGAAGCAGCAAACAACGGGACTCAAGATCGGCCCGATGAGGGTAAAATTGTGAACTATGTCAGGCAGCGATTTGTTTCCAGTTATCTTGGTCATTTTCACATTAGCCTGCGTGACAGGCGTTTGAAAGGGAAGGGAAAGGGAGTTTTAGTGCGAGAGAAACGCGAGAGGCGCGCGAGGAGGGATAGTACCTTCACTTCAGATTTCTTGTTTTAGGAAAACAAAAGAAAAACAGTACGCGAAATACGACTTAAATAAGCGCATCGCGGCCAGACTTATTTGACAGCTAGTCATTCACAGTTGGGGTTATTTTTGCACACATAATTAGTAGGCGGGATGGCGAAAACAATGGTTTCCTGGCAGGCGTTTCCCTCCTTCCCTTCTTCCTCGCGCGCCCCTCGCGTTTCCCTCGCGCCCAAAACCCCCTTTCCCTTCCCTTTCAAACGCCT